AGGGTTTAGGGTTTAGGGAATTCAGGCCTGCTGGATTGCAGGCCGCAGAACTCAGCTTCAGAGGGTGTAGCGGTGTAGCAGAGCCCTCAGGTTGTACTTAAGTAGAAGTGGGGGTGGTTGGGTGTCAATTTGCTGGGTTCTTCTGTTAAAGGATTTAAACTTAAGTTACCATATCAGGGATCCATAACAAATAACTTGGTTTCCATATAAGAGTAACTTACATAAAATCGTTTAACAAGAACCCAGTTTGGGGTCCAGGGCGTGGTGAAGACGTTCAGGGCCGGTTGTCCACGGCGGAATGCGGGGCCNNGTCTAGGGATCCGCGTTTAAGGTTTAGGGTTTAGGGTTTAGGGTCTAGGGATCCGCGTTTAAGGTTTAGGGTTTAGGGTTTAGGGTTTAGAGATTCGGGTTTAAGGTTTAAGGTTTAGGGTTTAGGGTTTATAGATTCGGGTTTAAGGTTTAAGGTTTTGGGTTTACCTCCCGGAGCCCAGCCTGAAGCGGACTTGTTCTTTGGCAGGGGCCGGTGCTTGCAGACGTGTCGCCTCTGGGCTGCTGGAGTCTCTTGGAGTCGGAGTCTCGTCCAGCACGTTGTGATGCTGCGCGTCACGATTCTGGACTACCAGAAGGCCTTACAGTACAGGAGGAGCCGGTTCGCGAGGACAACGACGGATGCACGGTGCCGTCGCTGTGCATCACCGACACATCAGGCACGTGGCTTCGAATGGACAATGCGACAGATGCAAGTGCAGGCTCGGTGAGGATTCTGGAGTGTACGCCGGCGCAATGGTTCTCTACGCCTTCTTGCCGAGTACACAGGGCTTTAGGGTTTAGGGATTCGGGGGATTCGGGTTTAGGGTTTAGGGGTTCGAGTTTAAGGTTTAGTGATTCGGGCTTAGGGTTTAGGGTCTTTGGACTCGGGTTTATGGCTTGGGGTTTCGGGCTTTGGGGTTGCGGTAGCTGTGCAACATTATGGTCCCAATGCATCTATTCAAGCAGGCGCTTAATTACAATCTTTCCTCAATGAAGCCACACATCACTCACTCCTCCAGAAAAGACATGTCCAAATACTTAGCAATGGTATTCCTCAGTAGCCCGTATACAAAGACACCTTAAACGACTCTCCACAAAACCCGGTTCTGGTTACAATTACCAAAACTTTCGCTCATATGCATGTGTATTTCTATATATATGTATATATATATATACACACATAGAATTTCATGTATATGTATATGTATACGTATATGCATATGTATATGTATGTCTTCATGCATGCTATGTACACATACATCGCACAGCATAGCACACCACCGCATAGCATAGCATAGCATGACACAGCAAGAAACACATCATAGCAAGGCATGACATAGCGCACCATAGCATAGCAAAGCACAGCATAATAATAACAGAACAAGACAGATCAAAACGAAGCATTACATGACCAAACCGGACAGGACCGGACCGGACCATACCATACCACGTCATACCACACCTTACCGTGACAGAACACAGCATAGCAAGGACAATGATAGCATAGCGCAACACAACATATACAGATGTATATTTACATGATTGTGTATCTGTTATATGTGCATATATATATATACACATGCACACACAAAGTTCATACATGTGGTATGCAAGAAAGATCATGCGAGCATGCGTGTATGCACATAAGCATACATGCATAACTACGGCATATAAGCAAGTCAGACACGAATGGCCATACATGTAGAGATGCGCACAGACAGGCCGTGTCGGGTTCTGGGCTGTCTGCTGTATACTTGCCTGCCTTGCTGAAACCCGCTGCCGAACCCCTTGCTTTGACAGACTTGCATGCATGAGTAAATACTGACACCTGCTAGGCTCCGAAGTACACACATGGCTGCCTACAGAGGGAGAGAGCTTTTTGTTAGGGATGAAGATGAAAGCCCGATACCCCATAGAACCCTGAAGAGGGTTTCCAGTTATCCAGTTTTACTCACTTAGTACTATAAGACATCCTATGAGATTGATTGATAAAGACCCCAGACTAGACCTGTAATTAAGCAACAACGACAAATCCCTGAGTCTGCAAAGGCTGCTTGAGCCTCCCCGATCGCCGATGTCAGCTTGCTCCATTCATGGCGGTCGCGGGCAAGCTCAGCCGTCTGCGCAAGGGCTATGCCATAAACCCGCAAGTAGAATCTAATCAATGCTGAAAGCCTACTATACTACTATATCAGTGCAGGGCCCCAAACAGTGATAGAGCAGCACGGCGACCACGACCACCAGGACCACCGCGGCGAGCAGGCCGACCACACGACGAGAAGACTAAGAACAGACCACGACGAGACGAGGGATACTTCAGGAGACCACCCGGAGACAAAACAGGGGACCACCACCAGGACATGACCAGGCATTCATAAGAGACCACCCAGACAGAATCAAGAGACCACGAAGATCCTCCAGGAAAGGGTTTAGGGTTCAGGGTTTAGGGGCTTAGGGTTTTAGGGTTTTAGGGTTTTAGGGTTTAGGGTTTACGGTTTAGGGTTTAGGGTCGGGTATTCAGAGACCCTCACAGCAGTAGCTGGCGGAAGCTTCCGCGTGCGCCTCCACCCCGGCTTCCCCCCAGGATTCTTGGACTAAGGCCACCAGAAAGCACAAAAGCAAAAACTGGGATAGAGATATTTCATATAAACCCCCTTATAAGGAAGCCCAAATAGGTAGAGATATTATGTCTTCTTTGGGTCCCTAAGCCCTGGACACCTCACCACATGGGTAGTTAGTGGAACCTTCTGCGTCGGTGGAGGCACCTCGCACGAACACTAGCCACGTCTCGCAGACCATAACTTTTGTAAGTTCGAAGAGGGTTTAGGGTATAGGGCTCAGGGTTCAGGGTTTAGGGAAAGATGGGCACAATCGCTCTAGCAGTCTTGACAAGATGGCGGAGAGGAGTAGGAATACTTAATACTGGTAACAACTCGTAACCATGGATGTTCTCGCAAGCGCAGTGGTCATAGCAAGACAGCAGCAACTAGCACTACAATGGCGAGACTGCGACGAAGAGCAATGATCACCATCACACCATTCAGCAGCTAGCTCTTTAAGGCGATACTTCATTCATGATAACACCACACAGGCATTCTATGCATGTGTATACAGATCTGATAAACGCATTCAGAGATCAAGAGAGAGAGAGAGAGAGAGAGAGCGAGAGACAGCTACAAAGAGAGTGCCAGCGAGAGAGAAACAGACACCACTTTTCCAGCCAGAAGCTGGACTAGGAGGCACAACAAAGCCGAAGAGCCTAAACCTTAGACCCTATAGACCCTAAACCCTTTCAGCCCTAAGCCGGAAAGCAGAGACCACCCTCTCGATCCTAAACCAAGCGCCTTGCAGGAAAGTTTCAGAAATTAGAGGTTCCCCCGAATTGAGGCCTTACAGCGTAGGGGCTATAAGAAACCTCGCAATCAGATAGCCATGAGCCCTGCCTGGTTCTCGGTGACGGCAGCCCAACCGCACGGCACCACGTTGAGGTTGATCCTTTGCTGCTCTGGGAAACATTCTGCAATAATTTCCGTTGCAAGCATTCAAGTCCAGAGGCCACGAGTTTTAGGGCTTGGGGCTTACAGGTTTAAGGTCTTGGGTGTTTAGGGCTTAGTCTTGGGCTTAGGATGTGGGGTCCTATAGTGTCTGAGTGCTCATGGTCATATCGCCTCAAACCACAAAGCAACAAATGCAAACCTACCAGGAAAAACTGCCAACTGACCCCTTGCACTCTAAACCGTGTCTTTTAACTTTAACTCTAGATCAGACCCTAAACCCTAAACCCGAACCCCCGAACGCCCATAATATGGCACGTGCATGGCCGTCAGGAGACAGAAGAAACTCCACAGCGAAGCCATGAACCATGCAGCAACACGCATCTACTGCCATGGCGATTGGCGAAGCATGATGTGCTCCCCGGTCAGGAAATTCTTATGTAAATGCTCCAAGCCCTAAGCCCCACGAGACATCCCGAACGACTGACGAAGCCCCGGAA